TTAATTATATATATATATATATACATATATATATATATATATATATATATATATATATTTTTTTTTTCTCGTTTATTTAAATACCGTAGGAGATTTTTAATTTCTCGACTGGAATTTTTCGGAAAGGAAATGGAATTAATTTTAACTTTCGTCGAAGATAATAAATAAATGGCAATGATGGAACACGTAGCCGTATGTGTGCATCGTTGCCGAGCAGAACTCGACTCGTTTGGAATTCCCTCCCCGGTTTACTGTTTCGGAGGGCGTGCCCGAAGAGGATGATGGCCTGCGAATTTATTAAAGGAAAACGGGTCATTTCCGCATAACTCGTAGGAATGAAGTTGTACAGGAATCTATCCACGGATCGCGCTAAGCTCCCCCGCGACATTCCTTCCACGGGGCATAAAGCGCGAGCTATTCGAAATAGCAAACTGGCTGCTTTAATAAACAATGAGCCGTGTTGCTGTTGGTAGAAAGTAAAGATAAATAGCTCTCGAATTAAACTTTCGCTCTGCATATCGGGGAGGAGAGAGATGTTTCAGAGACGATTTTCCACAATCGATAGTTATATGATGCTGGGAAAAATGAATCCAAGATACGAAATTACCTTATTCTCACTTTTTCGTTTTTCACCAATCGGTTTCGTAGGTGAAAAGGGTGGCAATATTCGACGATATTCCAGGTGACGCGTGATATTTTTCGTACGGCGTTCAATTATTCCGGCCGTTCGCTCGGCTCTAATTGATCCGGAATTCGCCACTCTGTGCGTACGCGCTGAAACGTCGATTACGCTCTAATTAGTAATTATGTCTGTGCGCCGGTTTAATCCGGACACCAGGACTCACCTACGCCCACAATTTCCAATGTGTACGTGTATTCTTGGAGAGAAATATAGCGTACACTTGTTTCGCTCCTTCGTTCGATGCGCCCCAATTACTCGCTTCTATCTCGTCTCTTCCTTAAAATTCAATTTTCCTCGAAATCGACCGCTCTCTCTCTCTCTCTCTCTCTCCCTCCTCCCTCTTCGACTCCTATGCAACGATATTCCCAGAATTTTCCTAGAACGAGAATTCCTCCTCCTCCTCGGCAGGAAATTAGTCTTATCGAATTCAAAGTATCGAGACAGAGAGAGAGAGAGAGAGGGAAAAGTGGTGGTGTTTAAAAGTTGATTCGAGTCGTTCGTGCTGGCCGGATATTCAGCCCTTCGTGCGTCAAAGTAGGACAGCCTAAATATAGTACGGCTAGGATCCATCGATTCGAAGTCAGGTTCGATTTCGCTTCGTGCAACGAGTGCCCGTAATAACGATCTACCGAAAATTGTTCACGATCGTGGAGATACGAGGAGGAAGAAATTCGAGCCGATTCGTTCGAGAAGCTTCTCCGCGGAGAAAGATCGTCATCATCCACGGCGATTCGTGAAAGTGTATCGGCGGTATGTATTCCCTCGAGACGAAAGCCCGTCGCCCGCGTTTCGTCCTTATTTTCCTTCGCTAAGAGCCTCGCCTCGGCGTTAATTCGCGCCTCGTTAGAAATAACGAAGGAAGGGGTCATTGAAACGAGGGTGCCGGGTCACGACCCCATCCCCTCCGGCACCACGCAGCCAGGTACCAGGAGGAGAAGGAGGAGGAGGAGGAGGAGGAGTGGCAGCAGGTCACGGTTCGCCTGGTTGGAGCAGGTACTGTGCATGAATAAAAGATAATCCTAAGAAGGATTTGCATTTTTCCGTCGTGACGGTCGACGACCGTCTTCCTCTCCGTCCCTTCGCTAGGCTAGGTAACAAGAAATCGATGTCCTGTCCGTGACACGGGGGTTTAAAGGCGTTCGAGTAAATCGGGACAGATATCGCGTCGGGGGAAACGATCGTTTATTTATAATAATCCCGCACCCGGTCCGTTAATCGATACACGGGTCTGACGTGTTAATCGTTCCGGTGGACGGATCCTCTTAGAAACGTTTCTAATTAAAAACCAACGATGTTCGAGGAGTCCCAAAGAAGAGTCTCGAATCGAAAATTCGTTCGAACGGATGATGATGATGATACGATGATGAAACGAAAGTGAAAGAAAGGCAGAGCGGATCTGGAAAAAGGAGGGAAAGAAGAAGAAGAAGAAGAGAACGGAACCGAAAGTTCACGTGGAGCAACAGATCCCCCGCGGATGATCCGGGCACTCGGTCAGGTAAACAGAGGCGTCGCTGGCGCGTCGAATAGTCGACGTCCAAGCGCAAACAAACGCTTGGCGGAATAAACCGCGTGCCGGTAGGAAAAATAAATGGGAACGGAGCGGAGCGCCATCACCGCCATTAGACGAGCGTAGCAATCGAGCCGAGGAAAGGAAGTAGAGGAAGAGAGAGAGAGAAGGAGGCAGAGAGGGAGAGAGACGACGGTTGATCACGATCCTCCCGGTGATTAGTTCCGATTAGAAAATTGCACGGGATGGAAGGCTCGTGGAAGGGGTTGCGGCGAAGACAGCCCCTATTAAGGCAACCGCTTCTGAGGTTGGATCGCTTCGAAACGCGCGTAGGGTGTGACGACGATGTGGGGTTGCCTAACCCACACACACACGCACACACACACGTGTGCACACGCTCAGGCTCGCTCGCTCTCTCTCTCTCTCTTTCTCTCCACGCCGTCCTCCCCTTCGCCAATCGAACGCCGCCACCCTTGGCGGTCCGCATTGCATCAGTGTGAGGCTAGCACTCGGCTAGGACTCTTCCGGTTCTTCCTCTCCTCCGCGTTGTAAACACAACCGATATTATTTCCCCCTATTTGGGACAACGTTCCAACGCCGGATCGATATCCTCCTCCTCCTCCCCCCTCCCCCCTCCCCCTCTCTGCCCCCCTCCTCCCCCCTCCTCCTTCTCCCCCTCCCTCCCTCCCCCCCCGGTTCCTCCTTCCAGCCTCTGAGGACGGGCTTTCACTCGGATCGACAGTCGTTTTGCCGCCGCCGAGTTTTCCTCCGACTCGGCTCAGCTCGTTTCGCGCTCGATAAAACGCGTGATGGTGAGACTGCGAGGAGAGACGACGGGACGTTAGAGCGCGTAGGGCGTGTATACGGCGTGGATCGGGAGAGGACATATCGAGGAGAGAATATCCTTTCTTGTCTACCCTCTCCCTCCCCCCCCTCTCCCCCTCCGCCCTACCCCCTCTCTCCCTTTCTCTTTCTTCCTTTCCTCTACGAGTTTCTCCTCCAACAAGGATTTCGATTATGTACGCCTCTCGCCGTGCATAACACGCGCGAGAGATTACCAACCAAAGGTGGTGGAATTCGCGGGGGGTGAATTCGTTTCGAGGTGAATAAGTCGGTCCGTCGACCGGTCGCGGTTTCGCGAAAGTGCACGTGTTTTCCATCGGGTGTGTGTATATATATGTGTATGTGTATGTGTGTGTGTGCTTGTGTGTCGTCCTCATCGTCGTCGTCGTCGTCGTCGTCGTCGTCGTCGTCGTTGTCGAGCATTGGAAGCATAGTGCGTGTCAAGTGTTTACTTGATGGTCGATCGGTGGCCGCGCTCGTTTCGTCGTCGTGATTAAACCTCCATAAAGGCCGGTTTAAATGGCAGAGAGTCCAATTAGCAAGTCGAAACGCTACTGTGCCAGGCAGGTTAGCTCGTCTTTCGTCTTGTTCTACGTCGTCTCGCGTGATTCTTTTCCTTCGCCACCAAGGTTTTTCTTTCTCTCTAATTGGACGGTTTTCTTTCTCCTTTGTTTTTTTTTTTCTTCTGACCGTCGATCGAGGAAAAATATCGAGAATTTCGTTCTGGAAGCTTTGGAGCTTCCATAGAAACAATCTTTGACGATCGGATTTTCATTCCGAACGAATCGGGTGGTAAGAAAAAAAAAAATCTGCTTCTTATTCCTTGAAGTGGAATTTTCTTTTTTTTTTTTTTTTTGTATCTTTTCCCGACGATTTGACGGTGTATCGACGAATTGAAAAATACAGAAAGAAAAAAAGAAATGGGAAATAGAGGGGCGGATTTTTCCCACGATGGATTTTTGCCGGACGAGAAACGGTTTAAACGGTTGTTGGGGGCGGGGAGTGGAAACAAATCTTTCTCTCCGCTGTTGAATAAAATGGCACGGCGCAAAGGAGAGGCGCGTATGGAGAAAAGAGCTCGCGTGGGTGTTGTATTTTTCGCGTTTCTCGCCGTGTTGGTATTCGACAGAAAGGAGAGGAAGTTGAAAATGCAGACCGAAACAAAGGTGTTTCAGATATTGTTCCCTCGGACATTCAGGGTGGGAAATAACGCGGTATTAAAACGAACACGGATCGAGGGAAGATATATATATATATATATATTTTTTTTTCTCTCTCCACACCTTCGATAAACGTCGGCGATAAACGTTGCCACGATTATCGAAAATTTTTATCAATCCGTTTTCAGATTAAAAATGTACCTACTCGTTGTAGCACTACTTCTAGTTCGGGTTTATTTTCACCGCGAAAATAAATTGGCGAGATCGGCGAAGTGAGTCAAGTGAATCGAGAAATCGATCTCGGGATAATGGAAATCTTTGCTTCTTCCTCTCGATTGTTGAAAAAAAAAAAGAAAAAAAGGAAAAAAAAAAAAGAAAGAGGCGATCGAACGAAAAGAATTAAAAAAAAAAAATATCAAATTTTTCATCCAACAGATCGACATAAACAACTCTTCTTTCGTTCCTTTTACAAATAAGAATGGTTGAGAAAAGGGGGGAGGGGGTAAGGGAAGAAACAGAAAGGAGGGAGAAAAATTTTCAAAGATGGAAATTTTCGGGAAAAATTGAAAGGGAATGTGGTAGAATCGTCGACACGTTTCATCGTGTTTTTTGTGATTAAAGAAAATTGTGGCAAAGGAGGGATGAACGGCGAATCTATCCTTTCCCAAGATGTGGATAACGTGTGCTCCAGGTGCTGTCCCTTGGAAACGATATCCTCCCAGAGTACAAATTACAGTCACCTAGAATCGGCAAGTGGACCATACTACACTATTCACCCTTCAAAGCGGTCTGGGACTGGGTGATACTGTTGCTCGTGTTGTACACCGCCATATTCACCCCGTACGTAGCCGCCTTCGTCCTGTCGGATCCGGATTACAACAGCAGGAAGAACAAAAAGTACAGTGACGATCCCATCGTCATCATAGACTTCATAGGTGAGACACGAGCACGACGCACGATAATGATAATGATAAAATAAAGAGATGTCGGGAAAATGTGTGAAAATGTGAAATTTTTGTCTGATGAACTATGAGTGAGAGAACTCTGTTTTCACCGCGCGCTTACTTGCCATGATCAAACTTGTGTAGAGATCATTTGTATTTAGAGCTTTATAGTAAAACTTAGATCGGTCAGAGAGTGATATTTATTTTCCTAGATAGAGTTTGTGTCGTGTGCGGATGTTTAGGCAGATAGTCGCAAAAATAGATCGATCCAAAAAACAAAAAAAAAAAAAAAAGTAAAATTTTCGATCGAGATTTTGAACGTGTTCGTCCCGATGTATAAAAGTAAATTTTTGATTGATCCTTTCGCTGTCTATAGTATTACATATGTATATATATATATAGTATTATTGATATTCGCTTCGTTGTTTTCTTCTTTTTTCTTTTTTTTTTTTTTAGGATAATTTTTTAGGACAATCGGTAATCGAGGATAAACGATAGCTTTATTTCTTGTTATTTATTTATTTATTTATTTATTTATTTTTTTTTTTGCGCGCATATAGTCGTTGTTTTCACGAGGCTTTTGGTGTTTCAGTCGACGTCACTTTCATAGTGGACATCATCATAAATTTTCGCACGACTTTCGTGAATAGCAACGATGAAGTGGTGTCCCATCCTGCAAAGATAGCCGTCCATTACTTGAAGGGTTGGTTCATCATCGACTTGGTGGCGGCCATACCCTTCGACCTTTTTCTCGTTGGCTCTCACACTGACGAGGTAAGTTTCGTCGCACGCTCCACGTTTTCTGAGAATCTTCTTTCCAGGCTGAACCCTGATCATTTGTCGAATCACTTTCGTTTCTTTTTTTTTTCTTTTTTTTTTTTCGAATACGAACTTTTTCTCTCTCTCTCTCTCT